CAAACTCAGATGTGTCCAGGTGACAATGTGTCTGTACAATAATTCAGATCTGCATCAATAACGGTTGTAATATGGACCGGCGGCGTAAACGTTTCTCCACGTGACCCATGTAGACGGCATCCAAGGTGTCCTACGACGCTTACCATCCAGACACTCTGCATCAGCTCCTTGCCTGCCGTTGTTCCTTTCGTAGAAGTCGTAATCGGAGCCGGTATCGTAGTACACAGGATTGCCCATGTCCATGTCCCTGGAGTCACGGTCGCTCAACTCGCAGTTGTCTCTTTCTGCGCCGTAGGGAGCAGCGTACGGGCGATAATTGAACGATCTGCACACGAAGTCCCTAGCATCGGCACACTCCCTTTCGCATTGGGCCAACGAGGACGCTGTCGTGTATCGTCTGACGAATGGTTTGCGGACTCGAGTGTGCGGCCCTACTTGTCGGAAGTTGTCCTGTTCGTCGCATCTGGACACGAGAGGCGGTCGACCGATAATTGGACCACCGCTTGTACCGAAAGGTCGCGAATTGTACACTCCACCTTCGCCTATGTAACCGCCACCGATTATTCCACCGTCGTTGCCGTAACCACCGTAGCCTAAAGGACGCGTGGATCCTCCTACGTTGTAGTGATTCCGATCTGGGTGACCCTGCGGGCCGTAGATATCGTCAGGATAGGTTGGAGAGTATCCTCCGTGTGACGATGGTGGATACCTGAGAATGGAAAAAGAATTATGGTTGGTTGTGTTGAGTGGAGGGATAAAGAACAATACTCGTTCTAATCCATACTCTTTGTATAAAAAGTATAAAATCTAAAGTCCGTCCAAGATCACATTTGTCTGGATAAAAATCACAACTTTATCCAGAGATATTAGAAAATTATCGATGCTCCCCTCCAACGAACTTACCGATTAGGATAAACATCCTTCTCGGGATATCTTTCGCTAATAGGATACCGATCGACGTGAGGTCTGCCACCAGCCATACCGGACGGATACCGGTCCAGAGGATCTTCGGGAATAGGATACCGGTCTATGCTGTTAGGATACCGATCGCTATCGCTGGGATAACGACCTGGAGATATCGGATATCGGTTAGCAACTCCAGTGGGGTATCTACTACCAGTTGTTGGATATCTATCTACTGCAGGATCTGGGATAGGATACCGATCAGGATGAATAGGACGCCGATCGCCGCCCCTGATTGGAAATCGATCAGAGATTGGATATCTATCTGAATGTGGATATCGATCCACCATTGGATAACGATCACTCACAGGATAACGATCACTGATAGGATATCGATCCACAGGGTCAGGAAATGTGTCTCCTGCTGCTCCAATTGGATATTGCCCGTTTAAAGGATATCTTTCGGGATACCTGTCACCTGGATAACGATCAGGATAACGATCTGGATATTTATCAGGGTAACGGTCTGGATATTTGTCTGGATATTTTTCGGGGTATCGATCTGGATATCTGTCTGGGTAACGATCGGGATAACGATCGGGGTAACGATCGGGATAACGATCTGGGTAACGATCTGGATAACGATCTGGATGACGATCTGGGTATCGATCTGGATATCGATCTGGCTTTGCGCTGCTACTGAACCCCTTGTCGTAATCCTCTGGATAACCTGCGTGGAAAATTGAAATTTGTTTGCGCTAAATAAGATGTACAACACTACTAGTGTTAATAATTTTTAATCGTTGAATGTCATTGAATTAATCTTAGATTTCGAAATATATAAAAGTACGAAGAATAGTATAGTAATAGGTCATTGGTTTACCAGGTCTTCCTAGAGAAGGCCGGCCGAAATTGGTATCTTGACCCAATGGATCTGGTCTGTACCCTGGACTATCTCTGTCTCCATCTAAATATTGATCTATTCATGTAACATTATAACAGAATTATTATCTAAATAAATTTCAGAATTTCTACGATTATTCAGAGGAGAAAGGATTTTGAAAATAATTAAAAGCCTGTAGCACTGGGACTTGAATTTTGAAAATTCAAATCTACTAAAATTCCGCACGTATTACTTCATTCATTGTAAAGGAATCTTTATTCATTCTTATATTCACATTTCTGCACAACTAAAGAAATCTACTAAAATGAGTGAAAAATCTGTTGAAAAATTGATTAAGTAATCATCACTCACGCATAAGATTCTCGTAGTAATCGTAATCCGCATCGTAGATGATCCTGTGCCCGTCACGCTGATTGAATCGGCTCAGTCGGCAGGTGTGATAATGTTCCGAATAAACGGCGCTCCTGCACTGGAAACTGGTCTGTCGGAGACATTCGTCAAGGCATTCGCTCAGGCTGCGTCCAGTTATCTCGGAGTGAAATTCACCGCTCAAACGGGAGTTTCGATAACGTTGAAACGCTGTATCTGGTCGTCGTCCATCAGAGAAGAGGTGCGACGTGGAGCTGCTGTCTGGATATTCGGAGCCACGTGCTACGGACGGATCTACGCTTCGTAAGTGGGTATTGGTAAAGTGTTGTAAGGTATTAATTGATCGTATCATTGTTATCAAGGCTCAAGGACACGAGGAGAATCGAACTCGCTTTCATTCTCTTAAGGAACACTTTTCCTTTTCAATCTTGGCATTGAAATTTATGATGGAAGATATTCGAGGATTCATGATGGTAATTAGTCAACTTGTCATAATAAATTGGATGCTTTGATAGAGATAGTACGATTATTTAAGATTCATGACAAATCAATTTACATTGAGTGACACTGTGTCGTGTAAAGTAGCATTATGCTCGAATAGTATTGTAATTGACCAATACATATTTGCAGGATTGACAATCTTTAAACTTCTAGTCTGCTGTGTGGACAAAGAGAAAATTACAGTAGTAATAGATACTAGATAAAATATACTTACGATTGTCTAAACAAACTAGATCATAAAAATGATGGCTAGGGCTGCTGCTTATTCCAATATCGTCCTTCTGAGACACGGAATCTTCTTCTGAAATAACGCATTGTCGCGTTTGCTCGTCGAACTCGACGCTCCGACAGAAGTACTTCTCGGCTCTTAAACAAAGGGCTTGACATTCATCCAGAGTAAGATTCGTGTAAATGTCCACTTCGAATGGTCCACGAAGACGCTTGTTCTCTTCTTTGACGAATACTGCTAACCCATCGCAACGCCGTTCCGCTGTTGAATCAAAGAATATTGATATTCTTTCATTGAATGACAATCAATGATTATAAAACTGAAAGATAATTAGTAAGCAATAAACTATAAAAACTCGGTAACTTCACTATTTAATGTTTGAATAATTTAAATGTTTTTCACTATTAATTTGAGAGTTTATTACTATTTGGTAAAGTTTTGAGAGAAAATTGTTGTATAAGTACCATTCAGACAGGTATTTTCGAGATAATCAGAATTCGGATCGTCTTCCAGCAATTCAGGATGAGTTCTTCTGGTGAAACGACTTAGAGCGCAGCTTCTCAGAGCAGTGTCATAGGTGGCGGATCGGCAAATGAAACTGAACTCGTTCAAACATCTTCAAAATATGGTATAAAATTTATGGTATATCCACGAAGTATTTCCAAGTAGATTTTTAATTGAAATTCTACAATACCTATCCTCGCAGTCTGTTCTATTTGCCGCGCTAACTTCCTTGATATCTGTCAATGGTAATTTTAATTTTTTCCTGGGATGTCTCTCGAACACGTAACGCCGATTTGGACACTCTCTTTCGATCCTATCGGCTTCACAGGGGAGTATAACCATTAAAATTTTTAATTAAAACAGCAACTGTAGAAATTAAAAATTTTCTAAAATAATTGAAATATCTTTTAATACTAGATCCTTTTCTAGGAATTTTTTTCACAAATTATTACAAAACAATCAATACTTTGTGAATTAAAATCTATTGATTATCAATGTAGGAATGAAGAAATCATAGAAATTTAAGTCATAGTTTCTCTGTGATGGGTTTGAGGTATTAGGAGTGTAACCATTAAAATTTTTAATTAAAACAGCAACTGTAGAAATTAAAAATTTTCTAAAATAATTGAAATATCTTTTAATACTAGATCCTTTTCTAGGAATTTTTTTCACAAATTATTACAAAATAATCAACACTTTGTGAACTCTATAAAATCTATTGATTATCAATGTAGGATGAAGAAATCATAGAAATTTAAGTCATGGTTTCTCTGTGATGTTTGAGATATTAGGAGTGTAACCATTAAAATTTTTAATTAAAACAGCAACTGTAGAAAT